TCTCTCTGTGTCTCTCATGAGCAAATAAATTAAAAATCTTTTAAAAAGGAGGAGGAGTGGATATAAGCAAGCAAGAGAAAACCTGAGTGCAAATATATGGAAGGATACTCAATCTCACTATCAAGCAGGAAAATATACAGAAGGACAACAATGACACACTACTTCATAGCAGTAAGATTGGCAAAAATTTTAAAGTCTGAGATTTTTAAGTTAGGGAGATAGTGGAATAGTACTCTACTGCTGGTGGGAACGTATTTGGTACAGCCACTTTAGAGAACCATATGCAATCAACTTTGCTAGATTGTATCCTACAACCCATGAATTCTATTCCTTGTCACATGTCCTAGACATAGACATGTCTTAAAAAAAAATTCATTTTAATATTTTTTTTAACTAGTCTCCATGCTCAGTGTGGACCCCAATGCAAGGCTTGAACTTAGAACCCTGAGATCAAGACCTGAGCTGAGGGTGCCTGGGTGGCTCAGTTGGTTAAGCGTCTGCCTTTGGCTCGGGTCATGATCTTGGGGTCCTAGGATCGATTCCTGCATCGGGCTCTCTGCTCTGTGAGGAGTCTGCTTCTCTCCCTCTGTGAAATAAATAAATAAATAAATAAACAAACAAACAAACAAATAAATTTATTTATTTATTTATTTATTTATTTATTTATTTATTTATTTATTTAAAAAAACAAACCTGAGCTGAGATCAAGAGTTGTATGCTTACCTGACTGAGCCACCCAGGCACCCACCAAGAAAATTCTTTGTAAAAGAAATAAACTGCTTTCTGGTATTATTATATGTATAGTTTATAAGGCTTCAGATTGAGAAGTATTTATTCTATTGAATATTTATTTCTTCTAGAGGGCAATAAGGATTTTATAGTATAGTCTGCACTGTTTATTCTTCTTTTCCAGTACACTAGAGAGCAGTAGTGACCTGAATAAATCCTTGGAGAGTCTTCGGGATATCATCTTATTCTGTGGAGACCGTGACACTGACACTATACCTCTGAATATATCCTTCTCTATCCTACTTTAAATTTTAGAAAAGTGACTTAAAATAGGCCATAATTTTGTGGTTATGATTTTTTTCCCTTTGGGGCAGTAATACATACGGACCTCACATTTGTTTACATTTGCTTATTTTACTTTTTTTGTGTTTTTCAGAGGATGAAGTTAGTGACTTTGGCCACTGGGTGGCGCAAATTCACAAGATTCTGGTAAACGTATAATTTCAGCCCAAGATCTACCTGTTGCTACACTCTTACCAGATGAGTGGAGGTTAGTTAGAAAAAAGGCTTTGGGGACCTGAAATCTAACTATTGACATGGATCCAAGTTCTCTAGGAATTCCAGTTAAGGGAAATTTCTGGTATTAGATGACTTGTAAGTCAGGTCACTGAATATGTAAAAGGAAAAGAAGGAAAAAGGAAAGTGTTAGGTAAGGAACAAGAAGAGAAAGATGAAAGGATAAAGAAATATGACAAAAAAATATAAGTCCAGAGAGATGAATTCAAGTATTAGCAACAATTCCAGAATGGCCTCTCTTTGGTTTGCATTTACCTGGTAACCAATAGCAGCTTTGATTTAAAATAAAGATTACTTCATTTTCTTCTAGGAAGTCAGTTATGCTACCCTCAGCTATCCATTTAGTGGAGTGACGTTATCAACATATCTTTTGAGTATTTGCTATGTATATGGTGCTTTGATTCAGAGTAATACAGATAAATTCAAATTAACACAGCAACTACAGGCTTCAAGCATAAGAACTAGGTAGTATACAGTAAAAGATAAATAGCAACATGGGGCAGCATGGGTGAACTCCAGAAATAGAATCCTTTCTGAGAGTGGAGGGGAAGTGTAGATGCAGAAATGGAGGATCTGAGAGTGAGGGGAGGAGGGGCCGTAAGACTGTCAACTGGTCCAAGGTAAAGAAAAAAGAAGGGTTCCTAGCTTCTACTCTTAAGTACATATAACAACTCTCCTTTGGAAAATGACTATTTCTGGGTGTAAACATAGGAAAAGTGCTTTGAGTCAGAACACTACTCAAAGATACAATAAAATAAGAAGGATGGGGGTAGAGAATGATTAGGATAGAACCATCCGTAAGTCCCTCTCTGATTAGTAACCCAGAAAAGGAGAGAGGCTAATCACCTGCTTAGGCCTTTCAGAGGTTCAGAGGTCGCTTTGATTTTTGAGATCACAGGTGTGTAAATGAATCACAGGTTAAAAATGAAGAAATGGGGATCCCTGGGTGGCGCAGCAGTTTGGCGCCTGCCTTTGGCCCAGGGCGCAATCCTGGAGACCCAGGATCGAATCCCATGTCGGGCCCCCGGTGCATGGAGCCTGCTTCTCCCTCTGCCTATGTCTCTGCCTCTCTCTCTCTCTCTCTCTCTCTCTCTCTCTCTCTGTGTGTGTGTGACTATCATAAAAAAAAAAAGAAGAAATGGCAACATAAAGATATAAAATTTTTGTATATTTTAAGTCTTTATATTGAAGAAAGTTATGCTTTTAACACAATTGCAATTATTAATGTGATTCAGCAATACCTTTAAAAGTTTAAATTAGACGTTTCTGGGAACGTGCCTTTTCTGTCCTAAGCAATTACCCACCTTAATCTTTGGGCCTATCAGAAAGTTTTGGGATGACTCAAGTCCTTCAAAAGGTAGAATGACTTCCAGTCTTCTCAACTGTAAGACTTGAAAAAAAAAAAAAAGCACAACTTAATACTTGTGCCAAATAAGGTGCCTGGCTGGCTCAGTCATTAGAACATGTGACTCTTGATCTTGGGATCATGAATTTGAGCCCTATGTTGGGTGTAGAGGTTACTTTTTTTTTTTTTAAGGTTTTATTTATGGGACACCTGGGTGGCTCAGTGATTGAGCGTGTACCTTTGGCTCAGGGCATGATCCTGGGGTCCAGGGATCAAGTCCCTCATTGGGCTCCCTGCATGGAGCCTGCTTCTCCCTCTGCCTAGCTCTCTGCCTCTCTGTGTGTCTCTCATGAGTAAATAAATAATTATTAAAATAAATAAATATTAAATAAATAAAAGATTTTATTTATTCAATGGTTATCTCTGGGAGGGAGGATTAGGTATAATTTCTTTCTTGTGTTTTCACTTATTCTTTGTACCTTCCAGCATTTCCTAAAAATTGTTATAGTGAGAATATACTTTAATAATCAAAGACATAAAGTATGGTAACTTAATGAGAATGAATTTGCAATAAAAATCTCACTGGCTTGTCATTTCCCAGAAGAATAATTGGCACTCCTTAGAAACAGTATTTTATCAAGTTGAGACTATAACTGAGTGACAGGGAGAATTGTGCCTTGCTGTGAAGGGATCTGCAGATTTACGTTTACATCCCAAAGTCCACGTGAGAGTTCTCCCTTCTTTTCTGCTATCTCTCTCATCTCTCAGTTTTCAAAGATCCCTACTGGTATGAGAATATGGAATTCAAAACTGTTAACTAATTAGGGAGTCAGAAAATTCTCAAAGGAGCCTTGCTTTGTCAGAGGAAACAAGTCCACGGGACAAAATAAACAATTCTGATTCCATCAGTGAATTTTTATAGTCAGTACAAATGTTACCCAAATTACACTCTTGCAGAAGATTTAAGAAATGTAAACTTTGCCACAGCTTTGGTCTCCTGGGGAACCTCATGTTTCTGGATTAAAGGACATTCTGTGGTGGGTGAGGCGGGGAAGGGTGGGGATGAATGTGAGCATCAGTCCTAGATTAAGAACTCCTAAGTATAGAATATTTTTAATCATCCTCCCTAGTGGTCTTGGGAAGAAGCAAGCTTCTCCCCGCCCCCCGTCTTGTGGTTAGACTGAGTCACAGATGGCAGGATAAACTGGAGGTGATGTTGTGAATCAGTGTGGGGTGCAAATAATAATTGTTTATCCAAATGGCAGCCCCAGTGGTCTGTCCTCTCCACCTACTGTATTTTCAAAACTATCTCTTTCATGCTTTGTTATCTGTTCCATCTCTTCCAGGATCAGCTTGAATAATAAATCGGAGCTTGAGGTGAGATATTTTCCCCTGTTGGTATAGTTTTGAGAATCACTTTTTTGGACAGTGCCTGAAGTGAAAGAGAAGATACAATTTGTATGTGGTTTTTACCATTGAAGAAAGAAAATAGAATTACTTAGTAGTAACAGGTACATTTTGCCAAAATGAAATGGAAGAATTTCAAGATTCTTATAATAGAAGCAGGACAGCAGTTGTATCCCTCCTGCCATTCCCCTTTTTTAGTCTTTTCCCTTTAACATCAGCTGTTTCTGCTTCCTCACCAGACTTACTGGTCAGGTCAGACTTGATTGAAAGCTGTGCCTTTGTAAGAAAGATCATAATCATTTTTCTCTGGAATCCTGTTCAAAATGTACACAGCTCAGCATTATGGTTTAGGATATAGTGTCGGGCCCACATGAAAAGTTGTGGATTATCAGGAAACCTCATGTGTGTCCTATTTGTATGCAGTCCCTAAGTCCCTTGGGGATGACTTAGGAGAAGACTTCTGGAATGCTTAGGGTCACGTTCCTCTCACCAGTGTGTAGCTAGCTCAATATACAGCAGAGGCTAAATTATAAAACCCTATGAACATCAGCCTGGGAAAACAGAAACCCCCACCCTAAACCAGTTGACCCAGTGAGCATGCAATGAGCTGTGAGGATAACAGAGGAGTTGGTAAACTGTGCCATACTAGTGGCTACTTTGCCACTTGGAGGCCATGCTTAAAACTTCTGTCAAAGAGAGCCATAGGTCCATTGTGCTCAGAGGGAATACTTTTTGTTCTCATCTGATGGGATGAAAAGATACCCTTTTTTTGTGGATGTACGAAATGAATCTCAGAGACTTGTGGTTAAGACAGTAGTAATGGTATGAGGGTAAATCTGACTGCTAAGCCCAGGCTCTTCCTTTGTTGACCTGACATTACAATTTGATTATAATGTCTCTGCTGAAGATATGAGTGAATTTGGAAGAACTTGCCAGTATTGGTTAATAATAGGGAGAAGACAGTGCAGTAACTTCATTCAATGTGTGAAGCAGAAAAGAGCTTTTCAGAAGTATGTCTCGTGGATGATAGTGATCCCTGCAGCTTTTTTTGGGTTTGATGAGTTGGGAGCATCTTGTCCAATCTAGGGATTGAAAAGAAATGAGCGATAAAGGATGCAAATGGGTGTTCCTTCATATACCAACAAAGAGATGGTTTAGTATAAGACCGCATTTAATTCCAAGTACACATCATTTTGCCTCTTTGTTACCCAGTAATTCTAGGAAAAGTTATTGTATTTACACTGAGAAAGTATCAGCAAGGTGCAGTTATTTATGCATGAGAACCTACAATTGGTTGGAGCTTATAACCCATTATAGGGGCCCATCCACCCCTTGCTTGACCTGTTTGCCCTGAGTGGAAGAGGCTCTGGGTATGCAGCTACTTTGGATCCCAGATGCACAGGGATTCTACTTCATTTTCTCGAGTCAGACCCCCACAACCTCGCTGCTTGAAAAGAGAGATCTGAGTCTCTGTGGTCCAAATATTTTTTACTAATCCCATTCTCCTCTCAGTATAACGGATTCCATGTCCCCCATCTGATTTTCTGTGTTCTTCCTAAAGGCTTAACTATCGTGAACATAGACTGTGACCCTCTTAAAGGTAGTGAATTTGGTGCATATAAGACTTTCAGTAAAATTTCAGTGTAAGAATAAGAGACTTGGATTTCGATTCTGTTTCTACCAGCTGTATGTCACACAACCTCTCTGAGCTTTAGTTTAAGTATCAATAACATGTGGATACCTGCTTTAGCTACCTCCCACGGTTTTTGTGAGACTCAGATGAGATAATGTCTATAAAATTGCTTTTTTTTTCCTTTTTAATACCTTTACCATTTAATAGCTTATTTTGTTGATGGGAGGAGTGCAATCAGTGTTGGTACTATATGGTTGCCTCTAACTCTGGACTATTTATTCCCCTTCAGGCCTACTTCCAGTGTTCAGTGGAAATGATAATGCAGATTGGAGTAAATAACTAAACATACATCCTATTATTAAATAATGCTACTTTACATGAGCTCATATCCAATATTAGCAGAAACTGGATTATAGAAAATACTAACCTAAACCAGAGATGACAACTAAGTTGGCATTGGGTACCTGAAGTACTGTGATAAGAAATGCTCTGGTGCCATGGCTGGATAGAAAGATAGCTGTGTTTCATCTTTAAAGATTAAGATATAATTACGTATAACATTGTGTAAGTTTGAGTACTTTACTGCATATATATGTTTTTTAAGTTTTATTTGAGAGAGTGAGAGCATGAGTGGCGGGCAGGCAGAGGGAGAAGTAGACTCCCGACTGAGCAGGGAGCCTGATGCAGGTTCTCCATCCCAGGACCCTGAGATCATGATCTGAGCCAAAGGCAGACACTTAACCAACTGAGTCCCCCAGATGCCCAACTGCATACGTTTAAATATTGTAATATGATTACCACCCTAACATGTCTTGTCGTAATAATTATCAGTTCTTTTTATGGCAAGAATATTTAAGATCTAGTCTCTTAACACGTTTGAAGTATATAATACAGTATTGTTGACTATAATCGCTATGCTGTATGTTAGATGTCCAGAACTTTTTCAGCTCCTAGTGCACTGTGCTTGATTATTGATATGTGCAGCCAACATAGAATTAAAGAGTAGTGACATGTATACCATTCTAGACTAGATAATCTTTGAGACCCATTCTCAATGCTATAATTCTGCAAAAGTGGATTCCTTTTTAATTTTATTTTTATTTTGGGATGCCTGGGTGGCTCAGCGCTTGAGCGCCTGCCTTTGGCCCAGAGCATGATCCTGGAGTCCTGGGATTGAGTCCCACAAGAGGCTCCCTGCATGGGGTCTGCTTCTCTCTCTGCCTGTGTCTCTGCACCTCTCTCTCTCTGTGTCTCTCATGAATAAATAAATAAAATCTTAAAAAAAAAAAGGCTGAGGCCAGTTCTGATGGGGAAACTGGATTTAAAACAGCCACGCTGAAACAGTTTTAGATACCAAAAGACAGTATGAGCTTATGATGCTGTCAGGAAGCCCAAGCCAGGAGGAAAGAAGCTACTTTGCCAAGTATTCGAACTTTTCAGTGCAGGGATTCCTAAACTTTGTTGAATATAAGAGTTACCTAGAGGCAGGAATGGATACATATACTGTGGGTCCTGAACTCTTAAATTTGGTGGTATCCTTTTTTTAGAAAAAGAACACAGATTTTAAAAATACAAAATTAGATACAAGCTTTATACAAGTCCCATGGATCTTGAAGTTTAAGCTTCATTAATTTCACAGTAAATCCACCTCTACTTAGGGAATTTGTTAAAATTCTTAAGAATAAGATTCCAAGGGGATCCCTGGGTGGCTCAGCAGTTTAGTGCCTGCCTTCGGCCCAGGGCATGATCTTGGAGTCCCGGGATCAAGTCCCGCATTGGGCTCCCTGTATGGAGCCTGCTTCTCCCTCTGCATGTGCTCTGCCTTTCTCTGTTCTCTCATGAATACATAAATAAAATCTTAAAAAAAAAAGATTCCTGGCCTCACTCTAGACATTCTGATTGATTGTATCTGGGTCTTAGAAATAATATATTTTCAATAGATAGCGTATTATGTTATGGCTGGGCTGATGTTAGGAAAATACAACAGTACTACAAATACCTACCTATTTCTTGACACATAAAAGAAACACCAGCATTTACTTTACAACTGAAGCAGCTCTCTGTCTCCCAGCCCTTCTATATTAACCTCATTTTCTCCAAGCAAATGACATAAACCATACAGAGACCACTTGCCTCCTTGGGCTGAGACTCGAGCTGGGATTCAGCAGCCCCAGGTTGCTGGCCTTCCTTCCTTTGCCTTCTCCACAACTGCTGGCATTGGCATAGCACTCTGGCTCCCCGGCATTGGCGCTGAAGAGAAAAAGTGACTGGTATTAATTTCAGGTGGCTGGTATGCATTTGGTTTCCTTCCAAACCTGTCAGGCCATTTAAAGAAAATCATCTTTTTTATTTTTTTTTTATTTTTTTTAAGATTTTATTTATTTATTTATTCATGATAGTCACAGAGAGACAAAGAGGCAGAGACACAGGCAGAGGGAGAAGCAGGCTCCATGCAGGGAGCCCGACGTGGGATTCGATCCCGGGTCTCCAGGATCGCGCCCCGGGCCAAAGGCAGGTGCCAAACCGCTGCACCTCCCAGGGATCCCCGAAAATCATCTTTTTTAAAGAAAACAATCTCTCATTGGATCTATCCTCCCTAGAAAATGCCCAAGTACAGCGAAGGAAGGAGCTTGCATTTAGCAAGCGCCTCCTATGTGCCGGGTGCTTTTCACACAGGATCTTAATTAACTTTCCTAAACACCATGAGAGGTAAATATCATTAGTCCCATTTTACAGATGAGCCAACTGATGTTGGAGAAGTGAAGCAACTTTCTCAAGGCTACTCAGCTTGTAAGAGGCAGTTCTAACCAAACTCCAAAGTCTATGCTTTTTTTATAATGTGAGCCTGCCTCTGGAACAGAAGAAAGTGTTTACAAACATTTGGGGGAGCCAATGTCTGCCTTTGGCTCAGGTCCTGGGTCCTGGGATCAAGCCCCACATCAGGCTTCCTGCTCGGCGAGGAGGCCACTTCTCCCTCTCCCTCTGTCCCAGCTCCCTACCCCATTCATACTCTCTCTCATGCTCTTTCTCTGTCTCAAAATCTTTTTAAAAAATCTCTGTCAAACATTTTATTAAAGTAGGCTCCATACCCAACATGGAGCCTAATGTGGGGTTTGAACTCATGACCCTGAGATCAAGACCTAAGCTGAGATCAAGAGTCAGATGCTTAACCGACTGAGCCACTGAGGCCCCACCAGGAGAAAGTCTTTATAGATCGAGTCCAGGGACCCAATACACCAACTTACAAGGCATGGGACTTCAAAAATGACAAACACTATGATGGTGACTCCACTGAGCAACAGGGTGACAGCAATCAGAAATTTGACCACAATGCTCCATTTCTGCCTCTTCTTTAGGTTCTCATCTGTGTCTAAAAGGAGAGGAGTAGAAGAGGGAAAAGAGAGAACTTGAGAGAGGAAGAGATTGATCCTCTAACCTGAAGTTCTTTTAGCTTCCCAGACTAATAGGGGCACAGTCTGATGCAGAGGCAATAGGCTGAATTTCCAATTCAGACTCAGAGTCAGGAGTGGGATGGCCATCATGGGCTCTGCTCTAACTTCCTTTGTAGCCTCTTCTTAATGCATCACCTTCCCTGGGATTTGGGATTTGCCATAATCAAACAGGAGTGATTCTTGCTTTGCTTTCAGGAAGCAGGGGGTACGCAAGGAGTTCTGAACTTTTCTTTCACCAGCAGCCTCTCAAGATGTCTCCTTTTGTGCTCAGACACTGTATGGGATCAGAAAATCACCTTCGCTAGTGGGGAGTAGGAGGAACAACAGTGAACTAGCATTTCTTTGGGTCAAAAGGCAAAACTGGGGACAAATGGCTCATATGCTTTTTGTTATTACTAATCTTATAGTTGCTTCTCCCATTGGAACTGAGATGTGACCTAAATTGGAATATTACAGAATTTGAGTCCTGGCCAATTTAGGGAGAGCCATTTCCTTAAAACAGTGCAGATGAAAACACGCACTTAGTAGTTGTCTTCAGTGTAATGATGCTTAGTGTTTAAATGTTTTCCACCTGTACATGCAATGGCTGGCCCCAAAACTGGCTACAAGTTCACTTGTGTGGAGATAAAATATCATTAACAGTGTCAAACTACAAACTTCTGGGACCTTCTTAAGAGAAGCTGTTTTTTTTCCCCATAAGAAATGGAGTGATTCTCTGATGTAAAATTCATATAATTTCTCAACCTCCCGGAAAATCCTAGAAAACCCAAACTAATGGTTGGGCTAAAAGTGTTTCTTTTTCTTGCTGTTTTTGTCTCACTCTTACTTCTTTTGTACCTTGTTTCAAAGTGCTAGAAAAATCATCAGTACTTGTAGTTTTCTCACCTCCTTTTTCCCCAGGAGTAATGGAGGTGGTGGTGGTGGGAAAAGTCTCTGATGCAGCCTTCCTCACTGCATAGACCTTACATTGGGAGATCCCTGGTAAAAAAGCTAAGAAACAAGAAAGAAACAATGAAAAAAACAACTGTGAAAACTTCATCCTGCCTTTATTTTACCTGACCCTTATCTCTATGCAGTCAATTCTCTAGTTAGAAGGGGGTAAGTGCTACTAAAAAAAAAAAAAAAAAAAAAAAAACAAAACAACTAAAAGCAGAGCAAGGGTAGAGAACAGTCTGGGGTTGTAAATGGGCAGTGGCTGGGCAACCTGCAATACAATCTGGTGTCCTTGAGAAAACGAGAAGTGAGCCAAGGCTTGAAGGAGGTGAGGGATTAGTTAAGCACACACCTGGGAAAGCAGTGATCTAGGCAGAAGGGGCAGTGAGAGTAAATGCCCTGAGGCAGAGTGAATGTGTCTGACATGTTATTGTTTTAAAGAAAAAGCAAGGAGGCCAGTGAGACTGGAATGGAGTGAGCACAGGGTAGTAGGAGATGAGGAAAGTTCTAAAAAAAAAAAAAAAAAGGGCCTATATTAGGAGCCTTGTAGGCTAGTGTAAGGACTTTGGCTTTTTTGTTCTGATTGAAATGGGGATTCAATCCAAGGTTTTGAGCAGAGGAGTGATGGATGGCTTTGTTTTGAAAGGATCACTGTATTGCTGTATTAGACTGCAAGGAGGGCAAGGGTCAAAACAGAGAAACATGTTAGGAAGCTATTGCAGAAATCCTAATGAAAGATGATGGTGACTCAAACCAGCTATGGAAGTGTTGAGATACAATTGGATTCAGGCTAACTAACTAACTTCACTTGGCTCCAGAATTGACCTAATCCAATTCAGACACTGGTTCCTATTTTGTTTCTAATGGTCTCTTATCATTGCTTATTAAATTAAGTAAGGTCTGTAAGTCTTATTTGACTTTTCTAAATTACTTTCCCAAGTCTTTATTAAGTCCATGTGAAAATGATCTTGACTTCAGAGGCCAATGGCCACAGGACCAGGCACTGCATGAAATTATAGAGGAAGGAAAAGTCCCTGCTTTCAGTTTAATCAGGAAGACGGTTTTGGCAAAGACAGGCAGAGACAGAGAGCCAGAAGGTTCAAGAGGAAAAACAAGGATATTATATGAAATATTTCCAGGATGGTGCCAATCAGTTCTCTGAAGTGATAACATATGTGTTTCTGAGACAGATGAGACAGAAGATAAACATCTCACTTTGGAGAAGTCACATAGGTTCTCTGTGTTTTGGTTTCCTTACCTGTAAGATGATTCTAACAAAGTAATTCTTGGTCTACCTATTTCACGGGGGTAATGGAAAGATCAGAAACAAATAAAAATGAGGAAGCAGGTATGAAAACACTGCACACCAAGTGATATTATGATTGAAAGAGAAGGAAGAACCTCATGATCCTCTAGTAGAACTGTGCCCTCTAGCCACGGGGATAATGGTATTTGAATGTGGCATGTCTTCCCACCTCCTGGGAGCCACTGTTTCAAAGTTTCCTTAATAGGCTTTATCTGTCAGTGTATTTTCAGTTCTGCCTAAGCTTTGAAATTAATGTGCATCTATGTTGGCAGCTCGTTTAGGTCTCATCTGCTAGGTAACTGAGCATTAACGTGGAGCACATCTGTAAATACAAGCACTCCATTCCCAGTGATGATGGAATCGCAATATTAGTTTTTCTTTGGCTAAAGATATTTGAGCAAGAATAACCCCCCTTTCAGGAGATATACAAACTCCAAATCTATGAAATGGATAACTTAGCAGATGATGCTTTGCTTTATTACAAAATAATTTATTTCAAATAGGGAACATTGAGTACATTATATTTAAATGGAAATCTCCCTTGTCGATTATTCTGTAATAATACTAGCAGGTCAAAAGAGCTTATTTGAGAGGCCTTACATATTGCTGTTGAGTTTGTGCTTTAGATCTAAACCTCCTTTTACATATCTGGAATGAAATTATCTAGTCAAATCTCATTTGTAGCTGTAGGAACTGAGCATTAGAGAAATTAGGTAACTTGTCAGAGATGATAAATATTAGAATAAACACTTGTTTGATGTTATCCCTTGTATACTCCAGTTTCACCTGGGGTAAACAGTCCTTAGGAATCAGTTCACACTAATCAAATTCCAAGGAACCTTATCTATATGCTAAAATGACATTTTAAAAAACCTATATAGGAGCATGTATCCGTCAAATGGATCCGGTAGGATTTTTCTCTTCTAGGTACCCTGTTCTAAACATATAAGTTCTTTTGGGATGCCTGAGTGGCTCAGTGGTTGAACATCTGCCTTGGGCTCAGGGCATGATCCCAGAGTCCCAGGATCGAGTCCCACATCAGGCTCCCCACAGGGAGCCTGCTTCTCCCTCTGCCTCTCTCTCTCTGTGTGTGTGTCTCTTGTGAATAAATAAATAAAATCTTTAAAATAAATAAATATATAGGTTCTTTTGAAATCTAATTAGAAATTCTAGATTAATATAGAATATGAGCAATAGGAATTGGATGGTATAAATGATACCAGAAGTGAAAAAGACCTAATGAGTTATCATTGTCCACCAGAAAGAAATTTCAGGATATTTATAGTAGAAGATCTTTTCATTGGCCCAATTCCATAAACAGTAACAAATAGTCTCCACCTGACATTTTTCTACATTCCATGATGACCCACATCTTCTGATGACTGTGTTGTAGTACATTATCATCCTTCCAGTTTCAAATTCCTACTTAGCTCTGGGAACGTTTTCTTTTTTTTTTTTCTGGGAACATTTTCATAAACTCTCTTCTGATTGTTTCTGGGACATCCTTTTGTGCAGACTGATGTCAACTGTAGGGTGGTAATTTCAGAGGGCATCTCTCTTTTAAAAAATTTTATTTTTTTATGCGTGAGAGAGAGACAGAATGAGAGAGAGAGGTAGAGACATAGGCAGAGGGAGAATCAGGCTTCTTGTGCGGAGCCTAATGCAGGACTCGATCTCAGGACTCCAGGATCATGCCCTAAGCCAAAAGCAGACGCTCAACCACTGAGCCACCCAGGCATCCCAGAGGGCATCTCCTTTATGACTTTGTACATTTGACCATTTATTTAATTTTTATTTCTACCTTACTTAGTGTTTCTCACATCCTGGTATTCAGTGTAAGTTTAAATTCAGAAGGCTCAGTTTCAAACTTATAAATGGGGTGGTATTTCAAAAGTCCATGCATAAGTTGGTTGTTTGGAATTCATCATTATTCCATAGAAATGTATCATGAATGTTGATTAGGTCTGCAAACTGGCCCACAAACATCCGTTTAAGCTCTTTGCACAACTCAAGTAGTACTGGGTATTAGCTTAAATTCTGCATTTAGGAACCGACTGGCATGTAATGAAGGAAGGAGGAAGAAATATGCCCAGGGCAAATTTTTGAATTAGGTTGATTTCTGGCATGCCTGCGCCCTCTTAATCTCCTAGTTTTCCTTGTCCCAAATTTCTAAGAACTAATTTCCGTCCCTAATTTCCCAGAATCCTACAATGCACTCTATCCAAGAAAAATCCACCCTGCACAGAGTGCTCTAGACTCCAGAATGACTCAGTCCACTATTATTGACACTTGCCATTGGTGCTTCAAAGGGGATGATTCAAGGTGTGTGTGTGTGTGTGTGTGTGTGTGTGTGTGTGTGTGTCACATGTTAGGAGGAAAACAATCTGGTTGAATTACTTTACATTAATACTCAATATTACCAAAAACATCCAAATGCTATCAAAATTTTTTCAGATTTTAGTAAGGTTTTTTTTTTCCCCACACAAATTTTTACCATATGAACTTTAGAAAGTACAATAAAAGGAGTGAAAACATTCATATCATGAAAGGATGTATAATTACGTAGGCCATATCCTAATAATCTATCTATTTATTTCCCAATCTCTAGTCCTCTAAATAGACTGTAGTTTTTAAAGTTTTTTTCTCATTATTCTGATTGGGAACCCTCAGTTTCTCGAAGTGTCAAGTTTTATTTTTCCAGTAGTGCAGCAGTAGCATCTAGGGGATTGCCTGTATGTAAAGAGAAACTGCCAAAATAAAAAACTCCTTGACAGAAAGAATGGGTAGAGGAAGGAAAGGAAGGCAAAGCAGACAAAGTTAAGGCTGATGTCAAGAACCATTGCCCAACAGCTTAGGGGGAACAGGCATCTCACAGTGTGGGTGGAAGTGCAAAATGGAATCACTGGGATGGAGGTAATGTAGCAGTAGCTATCAAACTTTTGATGCAGCAAACCTGCAAGATGCTTCTTGGAATTTATCCGATTGATAAATTGCAGGTACACAGAGAGGAATGTCATTGCTTGCAATATTGTTTGTGTTTACAAAAGATTAGAAACCAAAATAACCATCAATGGGGAACTGGTGGAATAAATTATAATATGGGTATCTAGCTGGCTCAGGGGGTAGAGCATATGACTCTTGATCTTGAGGTGAGCTCGAACCCCATGTAGGACTTAGAGATTATTTCAGGAAATAAAATTATAGTACAGCCATATAAAGGAATACTGTACAATTTTTGAACAAGACAACTTTATACAAATTGATATGCAACAACCTAAAATATACATTGTTAAATGGGGAAAAAAAGCAAGGTACAAAACAGTATTTATGGCATCTCCGGGTGCCTGAGTGGCTCAGTTGGTTAAGCATCTGCCTTTGTTTAGGTCATGATCCCAGGGTTCTGGAATCAAGCCCCACATAGGGGAGCCTGCTTCTCCCTCTGCCTCTGCCTGCTCCTCCCCTTGCTTGTGTGTGCGCTCTCTCTCTCACACACACATAAATAAAATCTGGAAAAAAATTAAGCTCTACACATCCATATAAGCTTAGAGTAGGAAGAAAATGCAATAAGTTGGTAATAGTGGTTCCCTAGAGAACTCTGGAGGACTGAGAGATTAGAGTAGGAGGGAGACTGACTTTTCACTCTAAATCTGTGCTGTTTAAATATTTTACTGTCTGCATTCAAAATAAATAGAATTCAAATAAAAGAAGACCCATCAGAAATGGAAATTACATGAAAATCACAGTAGGTCAGGGTTAGAGGGGCCCATAGAAACTAAAAAAACGATTTCCAGAGAAGACACAGATCTGCCCAAGGAGAGAATAATCCATTTCCTTGAGGCTTTAGCTATTACTAAGCTCCATCTGGCTTCAAGGATATCAGCTAAAAGTCAGTGCCTACCTCCATCTCATTTTCCAGTCTTACCTTTGCCTGTTAGAAGGAATCCAGTCTGAAACTTGGATGTGGGGGTTAAGTGACAATTTGGGGAGTCAGTGCTGTTTCTGGAGGGAGCAGCAGTGATTCTCAGGTTCTTCAGAGTATGCTTGGTCTTTGACCTTTTCTCTGAATACACAAGGTTCACTTTGACTTTACTCCCAGAGCCAAGGCACTGCAGGGTAGCCACAGTCTGGTTTTGAATGAATGTGGACCTTTTGGCTTCTGCCTGAGCCTCTGAAAGGAAAAAAGCCAGACAGAACAATGAAGCTGGTTCTTAATCTGAATTAAGATTACCATATACAACTAAACAACTTCCATCATGACCCCTGTTAGAACTCCTTCTCAGTACTTTCTTCCCCTTTTTTGTTTATTAAAGATTTCATTTATCTATTCATCAGAGACACACAGAGAGAGGCAGAGACACAGGCAGAGGGAGAAGCAGGCTCCATGCAAGGAGCCCGACGTGGGACTCAATCCTGGGACTCCAGGATCATGCCCTGAGCTGAAGGCAGACGCTGAACCGCTGATCCACCCAGGCGTCCCATTTTCTTCTCTTTTTTATTTCACTTCTTCCTCAACATGTGTTTATGGTCCTAAATATACAAGCCCTGCCTTTCCTTCTTCCTGCTGTGGGTCTCATGAAGATCAGTGACTGCAGTAATTTCAGCCCAGAGAAATGCTCATAGATTGTTTTCTCCATTTCAGAGAGGGTTGAGCACTGTTTCCTATTTCTTCACCCTCAGCAGTTTGATTTATATAGAAATGCCTTAGGTAATAACTGTTAATTTAAAAATGGGTTTCCAGAAAGCCCCTTGAGGGGATACATATCTTTAAAATAGGATATTTGAGATCTGTGCTAGGAATGGGGAGATAGGCATCTTTTAAAGGTAAAGATTTTCTGGAATGGTAAGGTGATTTTTCAAGAAGGGCTCATTCCGTACCTTGCATGAGCACATCCCTGATTCTTCTCACATCCTTTGGGAAGAGCCTGGGCAGCTGTTCCACATGGCAGTTGCTATCTCTGAGTTCTGGAAAACAAAAGGAAAAAAAAGGTCAAGATTTACAATTTATTGGGTACTGTTTAGAATTCCAGGTATTGGAAAGGGGAATACAAAAGAATGCAGTGCCTTCTCATATAGCTGGCAATTGGAGAGATCAAACAATGTCAAGAAAATATTTTTTTAAAGATTTTATTTATTTATTCATGAGACACACAGAGAGAGGCAGAGACGTTAGGCAGAGGGAGAAGCAGGCTCCTCACAGGGAGCCCAGTGTGGGACTTGACCCCCAGACCGGGATCATGCCCTGAGCTGAAGGCAGACTCTCAACCGCTGAGCCACCCAGGCATCTTTAAAAAGATTTTAAAATGGGAGTTAATCTAGCATGAAGAAAACTGAGTACCAATCCATTACACTTAGGGGAAAAAAGGTGAAATAGAGTTAAGTGAAATTAATAAGTTAATGAAAAGACTAACCAGTCCATTCTTTCAAATGCTGCTTATTATCCCTTCTTATTTTATCTGACTTCTTATATTAAAACTTTTGAAAATTTATTAAATGTAACCCTGAACAAGATATCTCTTCAAGTTTCCATGGAACCACAGCTCATAGTTTATTTATGCTTTTTGACACATAACTCACAAGGTGTTGTACTCATCTGTTAAATGTCTTACTGCTGCCCCTTGAGCTCTTTGGCCTTAACTTTAATTAGCTAATTTTAGAGATGAAATGTTTGGACACTTTGAAAAACTGTGTTTTAAAAAACAATTATCAGAGAGCAGCAAATGGTGCCATTCCAGCCCACCTTAAAAAAAGAAGACAGTGTCTCATGAGGGTTATGAATTTGGGAGTCTTAGATGTTGATAATAACGAAACCATGTAGTGAAGAAAGTCATCTAATAATGAGAGTACTTTCAATGTTAGTTACGTGAACAAGACAGAAGAATACATCGCATTCTCTAAAGACTTCTCATCATGGAATAGCTAACTGAGTTGAAATAAGTTACAGTCCTGCCTAGAAGCAAGAGAATACATGGGATGACTGTAAAACATCACTTACTGAGTACTGATTGGCTTTATCTCAATCTGGTGGAATAGATCCCCAAACACATTCTAGGTCTCTCTTTGGGTTTTCTAGGATATTAGACTACAGAAGTTCTTACCTTTCTTGCTGACATCATAGGACATAATGATTAGGCTGAAAACCAAGATGGTGTCCATGTTAGCTGAAGCACATGCTGTTAATCTGTCACAGCCCCTTAGTCTTTTTGCTAGGTGCTTTCACTGCTCTGGAACCAAGTTTGACCCTGGGAGACTCTGCTACTACCCTATTTTGCCCCATTTCCTGAAGACCCAGGAATAGAGCTGATTGGAGAGAGGACCAAATGTGCTGGTTAATGATTGACTCAAAAAGTCTTTTTGCGACTTCATAGCTGGTGCCAACATAAGGAACTGTAATTACCTAGAAGTTTCCCTAGAAGAAGGGACATAAACACCTAGTGATACGCCTTACAAATACTTGCAGATGGACACGTAGACATTCACATGCATGCTTACTGACACAGGCATATAGATTTATACACTGACATAAAGAGATGTAGAGATTTCTATTTGGAAAGTGATTTCAAGAATAGAGCAGGAAACGAGGACTGAATGAGTTAGTCGACTACACTGAAGAGATTGCTAGACTAGGAATTGATAGACTTGAGTTTAGGATAAGTCCTATTATTAACTCTGTCGCCTTGAGAAAATTGCTTGACTTCTCTGAATCTCCATTTTTCTTCTCTAACTGGAGAATTCCTACCAAATAATCTCTAGAATTCATTCACAGTTGTACACATAAACTCACAGCACAGACAAATCTATCTAGTTTTGCACATTTTCACACCCCTGAATAGGTAGACCACATTGCCATGACTATTGCATTAGACCAGTGGTACTGTCTGTAGTTTGGGAAGATTTTCCTAGACAGATAAATGTTGTTGAAGATTTTCTAAAATTGTATCTTTTAGCAAAGAGTTTACATCTAGTGTAATACTCTGTAGAGTTTGTGATAGCATAGCTAGGCTAGATCATACAGCAGAAAAAAAGATCACACATCTTCTGCTGAAGTACAGAGCCTCTGCAGTCTTTCTGCTCACTGTAAATTTATTTCATTGGAGCCAACATAGATTTGGCTATGCATAAGAAGGTCTTGGGGCCTGACACTACTAATGATGTGAAAGGAGCTTGAGTCAAGGGATTTTCCATGAGGGAGCTGATGAGATCCGAGTCAAATCATAATTTAGATATTACCCTGTTTCCTGGCATTTTAATTCAGGTTGAAATCTGGCTAAATTGAATTCAAGGAAAATCTTTTTTCTGTTTTTTAAGATTTTATTTATTTATTCATCAAAGACACACAGAGGCAGAAACCTAGACAGAGGGAGAAGCAGGCTCCTTGCAAGGAGCCCGATAAGGGACTCGATCCCGATCCCTGATCCCAGGATCATGTCCTGAGCCAAAGGCAGACGCTCAACCGCTGAGCCACCCAAGCGTCCCTCAAGGAAAAACTTAATGGGGAAACGGAATGGAACAGTGTGTTGCCTGAAGTGTGGAAGAAGTGCTGAGAATTCAGCCACAGTGCCTTTTACACTTTCATTCAATAGTAATGTAGGCCTACTGTGTCAGTGAGCCAGATCAAATCTTTGTTCACATAAAATGATGGGAAGCAGACAATTAATACAGTTGAAAATAAAATAGTGCAGAGGGGTAATGATAATACACGAATGCAAATACAAGATAATTGAGGCTATGATAGTTGTGAAGCAGCAAGCAGGTGATGAGGTGAAGGGCTACTGGCAGAGGTTACATTCACAGTGGTAGGGACAGCCTTCTCTGAGGTGGTGACATCAGAGGTAAAAAAAAAACAGGAGAGGGGATGGCATAGAAGCCAATAAAGAGTCTTTCAATGAAGGAATCAGTTGGTCAAATGTGGAGAAGTTGTGTATAATAAAGACAGTATCCGTGGATTTTGTGAGCAGTTCCAGCAGAGTGGTGGAAGCAAGAAATGTCTGAGAGGGAATTGGAGGTGAAAAAGTGTACATAACTTTTTCAAGATGTTTTGCTATGGAAAGAAACAGAGAAGCAAGGCCACTGAGTGGAGGGAACACAAGTGCCTCAGATCTTTATTGACCCAGAGCAACACTGTCTTATCCTCTTTTTCCCTGCTGCAATTGCCTGATTCTCTTAGCAGTGTAGGTGGGTAGGGCAGAATTAAGTGCTCCATTACTTTCCCTGAGTGTCATGAGTTTTGCTTACTATTTTCTTAACATGATTAATCAGTTTTTTTTTTAATTTTATAAATTAATTTTTATTGGTGTTCAATTTACCAACATACAGAATAACACCCAGTGCTCATCCAGTCAAGTGTACCCCTCAGTGCCCGTCACCCATTCACCCCCACCCCCCGCCCTCCTCCCCCTCCACCACCCCTAGTTCATTTCCCAGAGTTAGAAGTCTTTATGTTCTGTCTCCCTTTCTGATATTTCTCACACATTTCTTCTCCCTTCCCTTATATTCCCTTTCACTATTATTCATATTCCCCAAATGAATGAGAACATACACTGTTTGTCCTTCTCCGGTTACTGTGGCCAAGTTCAAAAAGGGTGTTGCCTGATTAATCAGTTTTTTTTAAAGATTTATTTATTTTTATTTATTTATTTATGAGAGAGAGAGAGAGAGAGAGAAAGAAGCAGAGACACAGGAGGAGAGAGAAGCAGGCTCCATGAGGGGAGCCCGACGCAGGACTCGATCCCGGGACTCCAGGATTGCGCCCCGGGCCAAAGGCAGGCGCTAAACTGCTGAGCCACCCAGGGATCCCCTTTCTTAACATGATTACATGATTCTCTGCTCCCTTAGGATATCAGACAAACCCTCCCACCCTCCACCCCCAATCTATTTGGAATATTCTGTAGATTAGTTCCTTCCTGGATGCTGATGCTACCTTACAGTGCTGCCCCCTTGGGGCAGGGATAGGAAAGGATCTAGGGCTCACCATTGTCATTCTAGGTCACAAGGTGGCAGAACTCACTCTTCCTAAATGCTTCAACAAAGATAAATTGGAAGAGTTTTATCAATTTTCAGGCCATTCCCTTTTCCTTTGTGTCTCAAAACCCCCAAAATCACCCTGCATATTTGTGTAGCTACGTTGTGGGATACAGAGAAGCAAGAGAGCTGCATTAACAAGGCAAAATATCTGGGTCTCTTTCTGTACTACTAGATATTTTGACTTTTTGTTTGTTTGTTTTGGGGTATTTATTTATTAATTTTTTAAATTAAATGATTAAATTATTAATTAATTAATTAATTATTGACTGGTTTTTGAAGTGTTTGGAGTACTTGTAGAGGAAAGGATTATTTCTCTTGAAATCCTTTTTTTTCTTCCTGATCTCCTTTACCTGCAGCAAAGGTTTCTAATTTAGGAGGAAAAAAAAAGCTATAACATAGGTGCATTTTCTGATGTGTGCAGATGAAAAATGTGACTCTGGAAGATAATTGGAGACTAGGACTGGATGGATCAATCAAGGTGGGTCTGTGGGAAGAGCACTTGACAAGAAGCAAAGAGGTTTACCTAGGTTCTAGATTAGACTCTGTAATTGACTGAATCACCTTGAGTAAATCACAAGTTCTCTGGCCTCTATTTCAGTTTCTTGAGATGGTTAGACAAGATCATTTTGAAGGCCTCTTATAGTTCTAAAATTATCTTAATGCCATGCTTTGCTCTCCTTTCTTTTAAAGGTACATGCTTGTTGGTTGGTTTCATTTAAATTCTTTTTTTTTAAACATTTTATTTTATTATTTATTCATGAGAGACATAGAGAGAGAGAGAGGCAGAGACACAGGCAGAGGGAGAAGCAGGCTCCATGCAGGGAGCCCGAGGTGGGACTCAATCCTGGGTCTCCAGGATCACGCCCTGGGCCGAAGGCAGGTGCCAAACTGCTGAGCCACCCAGGGATCCCCTCATTTAAATTCTTTTATTGTAGAATGTATCATACATATAGAAGAGTATATAGAACATAAGTACAGTTTTAATAATAATAATAGTAATAATAATGCGCACACTATGTAGTCATCACCCTAATGAAGAAATTGGACATCGCCATTGTCACAGAAGCTGTTTATCTTCTGATCACACTTCTTTCCCTCCTCCCAATCATTATTTACCCATGCTTTCTAAATATAGTGAATTATCTATATATCTATCATTTAAAATACTTTTTAAATTTTGCCTACTTTTGAACTTAAATAAATAGAATCACTTTTTTTGTATTTCAAAGTAAACTGTTATGTATAACAGAAAATGGATATACCTCTCTCTCTGACCCCTCCCAGTCACTACCTACCATCAGGAGTAACCATTATCCAAACTTGTACTGCCATAGATGAGTTTTGCCTATTTTTTTGAACTTTATGTAACAGGAAACATACTTTTTGTCTGGATTTTTTTTTTTTTTGCTCAACTATTTGTAAAACTCATCTGTATTTCATGTAGCAATATTTTTTTCATTCTCATTGTTTTCTAATACTCCATTGTACGAATGTCTCATAATTTTTTTCTTTATTTAAATTCAATTTGCCAACATACAGTAGAACACCCAGTGCTCATCACATTGTGTGCTCTCCTTAATGCCCATCACTCAGTTACTCCATCCCTCCACCCACCTCCCCTTCACAATTATGTATCCATTCTACTGCTGAGACACATGGGGCTGTTTACAGTTTGGGGCCATAATGAACATATGGCACATATGAAAGTTTCTCCAGAGTATAAATTCAGAAATGGAAATTGGATTATAGGGTAGACAGAGCTTTACTAACTAATGCCAAACTCTTTTCTAAGAGGTTGTCCCCATTTACACTTCCATCTGCAGTATATGAAAGTTCCTGTTGTCCTATATCCTTGCCAAAGAGGCCAAAGAGCCTTTTCAGTGTGGTACGAGCATGGGACTGAACAGGGCTCAGAGTGCCAGCCCTTCAGCTTTTTTCAGAAGCCTGGGTCACAGTCACTTCGCCTGTTTACTTGCTCCATCTAAATAAGGGTAAAGGATTCAAATTCTCTCTAGGTCTCTAATCATATGCTCAGTTATCTGGGACTATTGGCCTCGGGTGAGTGGGGTGGTGAATTGAATAACATAATCATTTTGGCGCCTGGGTGGCTCAGTGGTTGAGAATCTGCCTTTGGCTCAGGTTACGATCTTG